TGTATGCTATAATTAATAGTCACCATCTGCCCTTATCACTGAGAGTTGTTGAGATAATCAGCATGATGGTGGTTGATATATGGAAAAGATACAATATGCAAAACAAGTCATCTTACATACCAAATCAGAACACTGCTGAGATCTTAGAGTTCTATGAAGTCTTTTCCAGACAGCAAATCAATTGCCCCATCACCTAATTCAACTCTGAAGTCCAATTGCAACTTCCTCACAGCCCCGAACAATCCTCTATACAGCCAGTCCAGGTTCTCCAAAACAAGCTGTTGCTCTAGGATTCCCCCTAAATGCTGTGAGAGCTTGTGTCTGTGGGGTTCTGCAGGGGCTTCCTTTTTCATGACTCTGAACCTACATAAAATGAATCATCACTGGGCCCAGCCAAAGTGTTTTATGGTTTAGCATAAGCCTATGATGCTAAGCATCAAGAGGGCTTCTGTCTCTTGGCTCCTGTGGAAGGAGTGACCTGGCTACCATTAGCATGATGGCTAAGTATACTAGTTACATTTCACTTGTCTGTGATTGAACAACTTAAAAGGACAAAAGGTTTGAGTGATGCTTTCAAAACTCTCATCCCACGGTCACTTGACCCAATAGCCTTGAAGAGAACATCAAGGCCATCTGAACATGTGGCAGAGAAAACCTGCTCATCTAATGGCCAACCCAGAAGCACAGCAGTTCACATCATCATTAGCCCAGAAGCAGAGAAAGAGAAAGTCACTGCTTTCAACTCCCCCCCCCTTTTTCTTGGTCCCAAAGAATGGTGCTACCCATACTCTGGTTGGCTCTTTCCCTTCAAGTGACCTTTACAAAGAAGTCTCATGGATATACCCATTGGTGTGCTGCACACAGACTCCTAGGTGATTCTAAGTCTGGTCAAGTTGACAATGGAGATTAACTTTCACACATATCATGGCTGTGATATTCCAACACTAAGAGGACAGCTTCACTTGAACATTCAGGAATCCACTGAATACTGATACAGGCCTATATGGTGTTGGTTTTAGAGAATGTATCAATCCCTGTCTTAGAATTATTGGTATCTACATCAGCTAGACAAGTTATTGTGAATTCCTAGAGAAAACTCATCTTTTCATTGTAAATGTGCACCTTCAAAACTTCATAGTTTTATTTCCTTTCTTTATTGGAATATATTGCGTATTCCATTGGGTTGTTTTCATACATGCATATAATGCTATTCGAGCATATTTGTACCCTATTTATTCCCTCTGCCACCCATCTACCCTTTCTTCTCCCCCAGAATTTCCCTTTCTACTTGCATGATAGTTAATGATTTTATGTGGGACTACCATCCTGTTCACAACGTGAGAACCATTGTTTCCTTTGCATCCACAGAAGGAAAAGATGCAGTCTTGACAAAGAAAATAAAGGAATTCTCCCTAACACCTTCCCTGACACAAAGGGAACAAACTGGCCACCCTGTTGCAAGACCCATCCTGGGACTGCCCATGGCTGGCAGCAACAGGTCCCTAGGCTTCTGATTAAGCAAAACCCTGAGTTTCTTTGATTACAAAGAGAAAGAAGTTGTTGAGAGAAGGTTCCCCCAGGTTCTTGGGATGTGATCATTTTTTAAAGTCTGAATTGCAGTGCAGACAGGTAGACCAACACTTCACCAAACTCCAGGGGAACTTGGTCTGATTTCTCTGAATCTACAACATTCTATTTCCTTGTCATCACCACTCCTGGAAAAGAAAGAAGTTACCATGATAAAACACAATGCAATCATTGCTGTGTCCTATTCTGCAGATTTATAAGCAGTACATTAAATTCTACCCTCTGAGAACCTGGATGTAGTAGAAAAATTCAAAAAAGGCCATATTTTTCCTATGACCAAAGCATGAAATTTCCTTTTAGTAGGTTATTATTAATAGATTATTACATCAAGAAATGCATTTGAGAGTTCCATACTGATATAGCTGACCTTTGACTCCATTGGCTACTAGACATCACTATACATTGCCTCTCTGCAGCTCTGGATGAGCTCTTCTACCCACAGCCCTCTTGCTGACTTGTACCTGATGCCCTCCCTCACCCTCACTGTCCAAAGCATCCCCCCTCAGGCCTCTGGCTCCCCTCACCACTTTCCAACTCCTCCTTCAGGGTGATTAAAGGCACTGTCAAAGCCTTCCCAATTCCCTATGCCTACATTATCTCCCGCAGAAGAGCTGTCTGTTCATCCTGTCAAGGATAACACCTGCAAAAATGATTCCATTTCCTCTGCCTTTTTGGATGTCCTACTCCATCATAAATCCCTCTTCTATTTTACCCTTCCTAAGACATGTACAAGTCCATCATAGGAAGCCTCCCCTCACTTTACAGGAGTTCTTATCCTATATTTCACAATCCATGTCTGGCCAATAATCTTGGAAGGATCCAATTGTTTTCTTTTTTCTCAAGACAGGGTTTCTCTGTGTAACAGTCCTGGATGTCCTGGAACTCACTTTGTAGACCAGGCTGGCCTCAAACTCACTGAGATCCACCTGCCTCTGCCTCCCAAGTGCTGGGATTAAAAGCATGCACCGCCACCACCTGGATGGACCCAATTATTTTCTAAATACTGAGTTCTCCATTATTGGAACCAAGCATCATACTAGATGTTAGGAAAACAATAAAAAACATGTTGTATTTAATCTTTCTTGTAAAGAAATAGGGGCCCTTCCCCAAGGCAAGTTACAGCACTTCCTATAAATACTGTCGAAGTACTACCACTTATTACAAGAGGGCCTAAAAGACAATAAGGAACCTTGGGAAGATAAAATAATTATTTTCACTGATAGGACAGCATGTGTAAAAAGGCTACTTGGACTTGCCTAGGCCAAAAAAAAATATTCTTGCTTGTTTGAGGGACTGGAATGCCATGATTAAAACATGCCAAGCAAATGTGAAAGCAGTATGACCTCTGTAGGGACCAGATCATGTGACCATGGTCAGGAGCCAGAACCTTTTCCAAACTCAAGAGAACCACTGAAATATTTTATTAGAAGAAAGTGAGAAGATGTGTCCACTTTAGGCACATGGAGAAAGCACTAGAGGTAAAGAAAATGAAAAGCAAATAGAGCAAGTAGAAACTCGTACAGCAGCCTGGCCTGCCAAGGTGCCAGTGATGACAGAAGATTGGGATGAATATGTGGTGTCATACACAGAATCAGCAGGATTGGCTGATTGGTCCAGGAAAAGGAGAAATAAGGAGGATGAGCCTAAGGCTTCTGATGTGAGCAAGAGAGTTCCTGACTATAATGGGAGGGAACATACCAGGGGTTTCACAGGGACACTGCAGAAGAGGGCGTGGAAAGATTATAAGAGCCAGAGGAACAAGGAATTTGCTGAGAGATTGTGTAACCTAGGAAAGTCGGAAGCTCCACCCATAGAAGTCTCACCAACATGACTGCCTAAACAAGAGCTGAAGGAGGACAGCACATGTAAAAAGACATGCCTAAGTGGTAGCAGAAAGGTCAAGAGGCCTTAACCCTATGGGAAAAAAACTAGAGACTACTAAGGAATGCTGAGGACAGAAGAAATTGTCTTCCCCAGCAAAGAGCACCTCAACTGGTTATCCAGTACTAAATGGTCATCCCTAGAAATGCACATAAAAGTAACTGAGCAGGTTGTACTTATGTATGTAGGAGTGTGTGTGTGCGTGTGCGTGTGTGTCTGTGTACAACAATTAAAAAGAGGCTATGGAATTGAACTTTCTGTGTATATGTCCCTATGCTTTTTGGTTAAATTTATCTTTGGCAGCTATTGTAAATGACATTGTCTTAGCTTCCTAGCACCCCCTCGATTTCTCTCTCTCTTCCTTTCTCTCTCTTCCTTTCTCTCTCTCTCTCTCTCTCTCTCTCTCTCTCTCTCTCTGCTTTTCTCTTTCTTCTCTTTCTTTCATCCCTCTGCTTTTCTCTTTCTCCCCTCCCTCCCTCCCTCCCTTCCTCCCTCCCTCCCTTCAGTCCTTCCTTCCTTCCTTCCTTCCTTCCTTCCTTCCTTCCTTCCTTCCTTCCTTCTTGTGAGACAGGGTCTTTCTATGTAGCTCTGGCTGTCCTGGAATTCACTATGGCTTCATAGCCTGTCTCTGCCTTCTAGGGTTAAAAGGGTGTGCCACCATTCCCAGCCTGAATTACAAGGTTATGTGTGTAGTTGTGTGCACAGGTTTGTGTGTGCCTGTGCATATATGGGTGTTCATATACACTGAAAATTCTAAGCATTAGTGAACTGACAGTAAGAAGCCATGGCTCTTTTTCAAACCCACCATACTTTAGTCCAGCTGAAGAGCTTGCACTTTCAAAGCCCACTGATTCTTTTCACTACATGATTCCCTTCCCTGGAGATCCCCTTAATCACTTCTACATGTTAGCCAGAAGGATAGGTACATCTTTCACAGTCTTTGATATGGTAACAATCCCAGGTAAGCATCCTCATTGTCCTCACTGGTACCAGTCAAACCCCTTCAAACCCCTCAACAGGTTCCTTGCCTCAATTTCTTGTTTTAGTTGTTTGTGTAGGCCATGCCTCCTTATTATGTCATAATTATCTCAGGACAAGAACTATATACCTTTCATTTTTGTTCCACTACAAATCATAAAACACATCTTGAATATATGCGGCTTTAAAAAATTGCCAGTGATGAACAGTCTTAATTAGAATAAATCAATGTTTGGGGTACTAACTTGTAAATAAGAGTTATTTCTTCCATGTTAGTGATGGTGATCTTCTTACCCAAAGAATTCCCTTTGAGTACACACAGACAATCTGAAGACTGTATTACAAGGAAGGAACAAATACACAGGGGATTCCTTCCCTTAAGCAAAGAGAAGCTCGATATGCATCATGGAAAATTAAAGCACAGTAATAGAATGTGCCAACAAGACTTCTGGAGTCATGATTTAGTGGAAATACGTTTTTTGCCTCCTGTTCCTAGGTCCTAACTTCCTTCTCAGGTACTTAAGCTGGATATGTTCTATTGACTTTGTTTCCAGATTACACTGACAACCATTGGCTATGGAGACAAAACACCACTAACTTGGCTGGGAAGATTGCTCTCTGCAGGCTTCGCACTCCTTGGCATTTCTTTCTTTGCACTTCCTGCTGTGAGTATCTTTGCAACAAGAAAGCAGCTTCAGTTTGGTCCTCAAGCCTTACTGGAGTGAGCTCTCACACATCAGTGTTCTGAGGAATGGCTCTATCTCATTGACCAATACTATTGTTCAAATAACGGGTTGACTTTTCTAAATGCATCCAGGAAGATGGACAAAATATGGACCTGAGTTTTCATACTGGCTACATCTGTATGAGCATATGATTCAGAGTGTTTCAGTCAACCTGCCACTAAAACATTTTGAATGTTTAGAGAGATTTGAAGGTAGCTTCATTTAAACTCGTCACCACAATTCGGCTTTTCATGTACACTAATGAAAGATAGGTGTGCTCACGAGTTTGTCCCTCTTCCCAAATGCTTGAATGAAAAGCATCTGACCTTAAGTGTTGTAAATGTGTCAGATGATTTATTCCTGTGTCACAGCCATTGATTTTCTTTTAACGAGCAGTTTCTGCATTTTGTCAGAGTGAAAAACACATTTATCTCCTTCTGAGTGTCTGATGAGTTTTTCTTCAATGGACGAAACTGAACTTTCTGGTAATTTTAGCCTCTTGTTTCTTTAAAGGCAGTTGGACATGGCATTACAATTTATCTCTTCCCTCTGGATATCATTTCTGTTCACTCAGTCTAAGTGGGGTATCAGGGAGCAGAAAGTCAGGAGAGTCCAGCCTCAGCAGGTGTGCCTATAAGTAAACAGTCCCATCCTCGCTCCAAGCAGCAGGCCCTGCCATGTGCAACCTCTGTCAAACTGAAACCTGAGAGGAGCACATGCCAAAGGAAGCTGAGCTCCCCGAGGTCACACGGGGATTCTCAGTACCCCGGGCTTTAGCAATCTCAGTGCTTATTCTTTGACTGTAAATGACCGCAGAGGACACTCCTGTCCTCCCAACACCCCGGTCCCAACTCTCAACTGGCTAGCTGGGTCAGGCCCAGACCACTCAAAACCATGGCTAAGAGACTGCCCAGGCTATGCGCAGGCTTGGATAGTGCACCTCAGCTTGAATTACAATTGTTACTTGCTGTGTAACTAATAATATTAGTATTCTAGGAGCGCTGTGGCAGGATATGGCAGACTGGGGGCCCTCAACACTAGTAATTACTCTCACAGTATATGAAGGCTGGACATGCAGATCCCGAGACTTCTGAGAGCCCTGAGAGGGATAGTGCTATCCCAAGCCTCCATCCTCAAGGCAGAGAGGGCCACCCTCTTTATGTGTCTTTACAGCATTTATAACTAAATTCCTTTATCTTATAAGGACATCATTTGTATGCATATGATCTCTGGTGAACACTGTCACTATCCTCAAATAAGTCACATTCTGAATTGCAGGCAACTTGTGAATCTGGGGAGACACAATTTAGCTCTGTGATTTTTTTTAGTATGTTACTTCATTGGTATAATGGAGGAAGAATTATTGAGTCCAGATAAGTACTGGGCAGAACAGTGTGATAATGTAAGTGAAGAGATGACTATGAAGAGAACCAAAGCACTCTTCTTCATAAAAATGTGTGCTGCTGTGTGCCTTTAGTCTCAGCACTTGAAAGGCAGAAGCAGGTGAGTTTCTGAGTTCGAGGCCAGTCTGGTCTACAGAAAGAGTTCCAGGACAGAAATCCAGTCTTGAAAACAACAACAAAATGTTTCCTGATGTGAAACGGTACTATAAGACAGATTCGGGGCAGAATTTCTCATATCCAAAGCAAACCCTTTGTGTTGTTGTTGCTGTGTTTTGCTTTTTGAGACAGGGTTTCTGTGTGTAGCCCTGGATGTCTTGGAACTGGTTGTGTAAAATGGTCTATAGAGTCCCAACCCCCAGCCCCAAATCAGCCCGTATGGCTGCCAGAACAATCCAGAAAAGAACAGAGAAAGAATCAATCATCAGATTCCCTGCAGGAAAATTCTTTTGGAAACAGTGAAATGCAGTCTTGGGTTTCCTCCCCAAAAGTAATGGCATAAAATACCTGCTGTTTGATGTTTATATTTACCCTGAGGTCACTGAGATAATCATGCTTGAAAATAGACAATAGGAGTCAGCATACAAGACACTGCATGGGAACAGATGCTGGAAGACTAACAGTAAGGGCAGCAAATGCAAACCTACAATAAGCAAGCAGAGATAAATATTCAAAGTGTGTGAAGATTAAGGGCCAGTTAGGGAAAGGGTCAGGCTCCCTCTGAATCCTCCACAGTGAAATCAAAGGATCCTAGAATGAAACTCCAAACAGTTTCAGGAAGGTTAGACTATGTAGTATAAGGTTACAGGTCAGAGGCTAAGTAGTCATTCATGTTTCCAATAAAGTGAATGATATTTTATATACAAATTAATTTCATTGATATTAGAAATCTGTAAAATGTGCTTGCACTAAACAAAACATTTCCTAACAGTGCCAAGAAACACAGTCTCTACTGTGAAAGGTTTGACTGTGATCTTACCGTAGGTGCTGAGTTGTCATTTTGCCCTCTAGACCTGCTAGCCAACAGTGCAGCCTGATTGAAATTTTGAGACTGTATCAGCAATTTGCTGGAAAAGTGTCTTAGTTAGGGTTACTATTGCTGCAATGAAACACCATGACCATAAGAAACATGGGAAAGAAAGGGGTTATTTCACCCACAATTCTATGTAACAGCTCAACATCAAAAGTAGTGAGGGCAGGAACTCTAGCAGGGCAGGGACCTGGAGGCAGGAGCTCATGCAGAGGCTATGGAGGTATGTTGCTTACAGCCTTGGTCCCACAAGGCAGAGCTTTCTAACTGCTTTCTTATAGAACTACTAGCCCAGGGATAGCACCACCCATAATGGGCTTGGAACGCCCCATCGATCACTAATAATTAAGAAAATACCATATATACAGGCTTCCCTATGACCCCATCTTATGGAAGCATGATTAATAGAGGTTCCCTCCTCTCAGATGACTTTAACTTGTATTAAAGTGGCATAAATTTTTCAGCACAAATGACCCCTTGTCAACTTGACACACAAACAAATCACCATTAAATCACAACCTTTCCTTTCTTATTCATCCCCAAGAGTACACCTAAATATTAATATCACAATATAAGATATTTTCAAACTTAAAAGTTCCACAGTCATACAAATTCAAACACTTTAAAACTTCAGTCTCTTTTAAAAGGTCCAAAGTCTCTTTTAACATCCAAAATCTCTCAACCATAGGCTCCCAAAAAATCAAAAGTAAAATAAGATTGTTTCTAATTTAAATTTTAAAAAATCTAGGAAAAAAAAAGAAGCTTTAATTAGCCAAAGATTAAAAAATAAATTAAACACTTTCTTACTTCCAGAGGGAAGAACCAGGGTATAGTCACAATCTGAATAAAGCAAAAACAAACTGCAATTGTGTAAATAACTCAATGTTTAATGTCTGGGATCCACTCACAATCTTCTGGACTCCTCCAAAGAGTCCACTTCTCCAGCTCTGCCTTCTGCAGTGCACACAGCTTGTCTTCTAGGCTCCAGCTGGCTCCACTTCACTGCTACTGCTATTCTTGGTGGTCATCCCATAGGGTCCCTTGTTGTAACCGGGTTGCACTTTCACCAGGAGCCTCTCTTGGGCTCCCTTTAGGAACTCCCTGTCACACAGTGCCAAGCCTCAGCTGTTCTCCATGACCCCTTCATGCCTTCAAAACCAGGACCTGGGTGACTTTCACACTACCAAGTGTGGCTTCCAGGATGAAATACAACCTTGGCTGCTTCTGGAACACAACTTCTATGTGCTGACTCTGAGGAAACACTTCCCAGAAGCCTTCACCTCAAGGATGCTGGTATATTCTCAATCATGGCTGATTCTTCAGCCCCAGCTGACCAGCATCCATTGACCCAGCAAAGCAAAGGTTTTACTTTAGTGGTTCTGGTCTCTTGTTAGTCACAGCTGATTCTTCAGCTCTAGCTGACCAGACACCATAGGTACTTCATATAAAAGAATCTAGTCTTTGCTTCCCTCTGAAACTTCACAAGACAGGCCTCCATCATCTGCATTGTTCTCAACATTCTTATCTTCCAAGATCCTACAGAACAACTTATTGAGTTCTCAACACTCAATGGATTTTCTAGGGGAGAGTTCCAAAGTCCTTTCACATTTCTCCCCAGAACAACATGGTCAAGCCTGTCACACCAATACTCACTGTCCTGGTACTGACCTCGGTCTTAGTCACTGTTCTCTTCTAATGCTATGAATAGACACCATGACAAAAGTAACTCTATTATAAGGAAGAAAGCATTTAATTGGGGACTTGCTCATAGTTTCAGAGGGTCACTCCATTATCATTGTGGCAGGGAGCACGGGGGTATGTGTGGCACTGGAACAGCAGCTGAGAACTACATTCTGATCCACAGAAAGCAGAAAGAGAGTCTGGGCCCGGCATGGGCTTTTTAAAGCTCAAAGCCCACCCCCAATGACATACTTCCTCCAACAAGGCCACACCTCCTAACCCTAACTCTCAAATAGTGCCACTCTCTGGTGACTAAGCATTCAAATATAGGAGCCTATGTGGGCTATTCTTATTCAAATTACCAAAAAAAGGTTAAAGAGGAGTGAACCTCTCTATAGGTTTACCACACCCAGAGAACACAGTGCCCATAGTTTCCTTATTTTGACAACAGAAGGACTCTGTTGCACCTTACATGGCCAACAGGCCACTTATCCCAAGCTCCACTGTAGGCCACTTCTCTTGCTCCCTCCAGCCCTAGGCTACTGAGCTTCTGCAGGCCAACCTGAATCTTTACAGCAGTCTTACAAGTTAGTTTTACTCACTCCTCCTGCTGGATACACTAGCTGAAAGTGGCTTTTTTTACATGAAGAAATCAGCCTTTATCAAGATTAAATTCCTTCAGATATCCAGCTTGTATAAGCTCAATGCAACAACTAGTCCTGGTTGACTGGAAATGTTAATTAATTCACAAGCACACATTTGCTACTATCTTCAATCATTAAAAATATTGACAAATATTTTTACAAATTTTGTTGCTATATCACAAATGTTAAAAAAATATATTACAATATATTTAAGTATATTACAAATATAAACAAATGTTAAAAGTCAGCATAGCTTGATTGCCATGTTGAGAATGCAAATTGAGCTCTTTGAAATGGAATAATAAGAAAGGATACATACTTTAAATTTTTGTCAAGGTATATTTTCTCACTTGGTATTTGTGTAGCATTTATTGGCCTAGAATCAAATATTAAAACCTAAAATTTTAATTCCTGTTAGTCTAGAAAATTAAAGAAAATCAATTTTCAAGATTTTTTGTCTACACAGGGATGGGGAATGACTGAGATCAAGATACATGATGTGAAAAACACATGGAATAAATAAAATTTGTAAAGATTGTGCACATATTGTCAGTATTTGAAGAGAAGGTGTGCATATTGAAAGATGACGCCACGTTGCATCTGGGTATATAAATGATAATAAACTTCTGCTTAGAGACACTGACCTGTTTGTTATGAGAGGTAGAGAAAAGTTGGAATAGAGACATAATGAGACAGGGAGCAGAGCTGGCTCAATAACTGCTGTAATGTACAGTCTGGCACAAGAGACAGGTAGTAAACAGCTGCCATCTACTAAAATATGTTTTTAAGCAATGCCAAGTGCTTTTCAGTATATTTTAGTTTGCTTTGTAGATATTAAATTGTACTATGTAGGACCTGTGTTCATTTTCAAAGGGGATGATAACTCTCAACCCCCTTATCCATATATTGTGCTAAAAAATGACAACCCAATGTCTATAAAAATCTGACTTACCTTCAGAGCAAGTAATACACAGATATCATATATATGTATATATATATGATATTTTGTATTCTCTCCTGTGTGTTTATACTTAATGGAAAAGGAAGTTAGAATAAAAATCAGTCAATCTTTCCCAAATAGCCTCATTTAACCCCCCAAAAAAGGATTTGGAAGAGAAGAGCATCTGTGATACCAAGTAAAGGAGACATTTAAATCTACAAACCAGACCATACAAAGCAGGGTTTTACAAAGCTTAGCTTGTGTAATCACAGCCTGTATGAGATGGAGACATTAGACACTACAAGATCTGCACTCAAGGCAGAGATGGAAAACAGAACACATGATTTAATTGCTCATTTCAGGGCACAGTCATTTATCTTAATTAATAATAGAGGAGGGTACTGCATACTAGTAGCAAATACTATTATTTTTACAGTTCTGTATTTTAAACATGATTGCATTGCTTACTGTCTGGTTACTGTCACCAATGGGCTTGGAATTGTGAAATCTCAAGATAAGATGAGATGTCAAAGGCTATCTAGAGCCCCAAAATATCTCAGCAAAGTTGTCACATGGCCAAGACTTAATACCTTCTAGAGATAAACAAACACATTTTCTAGGAAGTGTCACCTTTGAGCTGCTGAAGGGTGGGCATTGGGTGTTTCTTATCTACAGAAGATACTGGCTCAGTGCTTAGAAGAAGCCCATCTCTAATTTAAGGGTTAGACACCTTGAAGCTTAATAAGAGGCTAGTAATTTATAGATAGCAAGTAAAAATCCACAGACTTGAAAGCAGGGGTTCCCCCACTATCATACTAACAAAGTCAAGAACACAAAGACTGAACTTAGGAAGCTCTGGGTGTGAGCCCAAGGTTGAGGAGAAAGGCATCTTGATTTCACAAATGTCAGACCTTAACAAACTGAAAAGAGAGGCAAACATCAAAGGACCAGAATTTTTGCAGTTCAAGAATAAGCATGAAGCCGGGTGCCAATTGTGGCAGCAGTGCACACCTTTAATTCACATACTTGGGGACAGAGGCAGGTGGATCTCTGTGAGTTCAGGCCAGCCTGGTCTACAGAGTGAGTGCCAGGACAACCAGGGCTACACAGAGAAACCTTGTCTCACAAAAAACAAAAAGATAAAAAGAAGATAATAAGCAAAAGGAAATCAAACTAGCAACAACAATAAAACACTGGGATTAGAAATAGCTTAGCAGTTAAGAATACACACTGCTCTTTAGAAGACCTGCATTCAGTTCCCCAGCACCCACACGAAGCAGCTTGCAACCACTCTTATCTTCAGTTCCAGAAGATCTGGCTCCATCTTCTGAAACCCTCTTACCTGCACACACACATGTACATATACACATAACTTAAAGTCAAAAATCTTTAAAAGAACACAATCTCACTAACCCCAAATTGCAAATAGGTGAGCCCAAGCCAAAAAAAGAGAGAGGAAAAAAATAAGACATTCTAAAAATGCCATATTAAAACTGAGAAAAATATGGAATTTTTTTGTCAAGGAATCATGCTCTTGATTTTTGTCATACAGGCAAAACCTCCAGCTCCAAAACTAAGAGCCTGTCTTTAAGGGCTACAGCTGGCATCTATTGAACCTTACCCCCATTTTTCCAGATTTTGTGTATGATGAATGTACAATCCCAGAGTCTCATCAGTGCTAAAAGTAGTCCCATGTCTATAGCAGCAAGACTTTAAATCTCCAAATTCAAACCCCAGTCCAGTCCAAAGCAGAGTTCAAGCCCCTATATCCTATCACTTATAACAACTCCCTTGAATTTGGTGTTCATTTCTAAGAATGATGCTTCTTATGATAGCAGAAATCAATTAATGATGACATCCAGTTGATTTACTACAGAATGAGTGTCATGATATTTGGGCAATATTACCCAACAGCTTTCTAGTACCTGACAGTGTTGTAATAAAGACAGTGTTTTTTATAAGTAATGTTTGCTGTCAACACATTGCATACTGTTTGCCTTTTCTGTAGATTCATTTTAGAGATATTTAAAATGTTATTATTTTGTATTTTCGTTCCAGGGCATTCTTGGCTCAGGTTTTGCATTAAAAGTACAGGAACAGCACCGCCAGAAACACTTTGAGAAAAGAAGAAACCCAGCTGCCAACCTCATCCAGGTAAATGTCAGCGTGATAGGTAGATAGCAACATCTGTCTCCAGAAGTGCCTGTTGGATCATTTTCTAGTCACCATGCTTCATTGCTTCCCAGAGCTACTTACTGTTCTGTCTATTTAAAAAATGAAGTCAAACCTTAATGAACAGCCCAGAATTTGAGCAGGTGTTGTCCCTTTCCCCAATGACAACAACAAAGTATGTTTTCCAGAAAATGGGCTATGCCTTGTTCGGATTAATTAACCATGTCCACCAACATTGCACAGAGGTTACCAGTCATGTCACTCCTGGGAGGACCTAATACATGTTATGAATCACTGTGTCAAACTTAATTGGTCATTAAGTGATGGAGCAGAATGCAGCATCATTCCTGGCATCCCCATGACTTTCTCTAGCTTGTTGTATGCTTCTGTTGTGGAAAACATAGATGTTTAGAATGTTGAGGTATAGTGTCTGTGAGATTACTTTTAATGTCTTTTAGGGAGACTGCCTGACATGCATTAGATATTAGACTATATTAAACAATAAGCATACTGTTTGAAGCTAGTTCATAATACATCAGTTTTGTGTTTGCCTTTCATTTCCTTTTCAAAACCCCAGCATTTGGGCTAACATTTTTCCAAAATATTTATCTTTTTTGCCATCCATGCTTTTTTGTTTGTCTGTTTGTTTGTTTGTTTGTTTGTTTGTTTTGGAGAGGTTGTTTGGTTTGGTTTGGTTTGGGTTTGGGTTTTAACTGCATTAGTGGTATAGTAGAGAGTATGGTTGTCTCCCCTGTCTTTTGGGATTAGAACCAGGTTAAGAATCACAAGATAATTTTTCCTAGTTCAGTGATATGAAGTTAGCATTTCACGATGAACACAATGGTTTTACAATCCCAAGTCCAAGCAGCTGAAGCCCCAGGCTTTGAACCTGGAGATGATGGGATACACATAGGAGGCACTAAGAGAATGGTTTATATGTGAATATAGCAAGTGTGTTGCTTTATTTTTTATCTCTGCTTTGAGTGGCTGAACTACTTGGTTGTAACCACTATGAACCATCCCATCAGCCTTTGCCTGTGTCTGTGGCATGCCTTACTTCCCACAGAAATGGAGATAGGAATGGAGATGTGTAGCTTAGTTCTATCCTGAAGGAAATCTGTATCTAATGACTAAATAAGGACACTCGTTTTAAACACAATACTATTTTACAACTGTTTACAAGAAATGGACCATCCGGCATGAATTTCAAGGCAAACCTCTGACAATCACTATTTTTCCAGTGGTTTAAAAAAGAAATAAATGAGAGCTGGAGAATGGGTCAGCAGTAAAGAGTACTGGCTGCTCTCCCAGAAAACCCTGCTTTGACTCCCAGCACCCCCATGACGGTTCATGTCTTTCTGTAACTAAAGGCTCAGTAACCTGACACCCTCCTCTGACCTCTGCAAGTAGCAAGTCACCCACATGTTACACAGACATCTATTCAGTCAAGGCATCCATACACATAAAAATAAAATAAATAAAACTGTTTTTAAAAGATTGCAAATGAAAACAGTAAAAAGACTTCCTTGCAGAAAAGGTCCCTAAGTTAATAGGAGCTTAAGCTCCATGGCCAGGGACTGGGAATATAGTGGTAGCTTCCCTAGCATGCATGAGTCCTTAGTTGAATCTCTAGTATTGAGTAGTCAGAAACCAAACAATAGTCCCATAATTATAGAAGTGCACACTACAGGAGCACAGCATCCTCACCACTTTTCATCTGCAAGCACTCATCACTGATGTGCATGCTCCAGATCTCTACAGGTTTTTCCTCTCTTTACTATCTTTACCCTCCATTTTCCTTTACTCTAGAACAGTTCTCCAACCTGTGAGGGCACAATTTGTTCAAGAGGCTCCCAGAATTCTACTGAGCCCTGCTTATGTATAGGACCAATAAACCATCTCCCCAGATACTAAGCCTCCTAGAGCGTTATCTGCCCTGTGGAGAAGCAAACCTTGCAAAAGTCTCCTGTGCACATCAGTTGTGACAATCCAGAGCTGTACTGCCACACAGTAGTCACTAGCTCTGTGTTACTATTTAAGCTCAGTGAATTGATGATGAAAACATGATTTCTAGACACTTTTCAAATATTTGGTCCCTTTAAGTGGCTGTTAGCTGCTGTGGTGGATTGGACATACCTCCAAGAATCATGGTAGGGACTTTCCTCACCTGCTGTGTCCTTATCAACTACTGAATCATGAGGAACAGTTTCCAACTGAACTTCAAAACCAATTGTTTTTCATGCAGCAAATCATTAGAGAAGTGGAATGTATGTCTATCTCCAAAGTAAGACAACCTGAAACAGGTGTAGATGCCAACCGAACAGCTTAGCTCAGAGGCCTTGAGCTCCATTCTGTGCAACTTGACTATGTAACATATATTGTGATTAGCAAGTGAACTTGTAAAATGAAGGTAATAACAGAGTAACATTATGAATTTTACTTAAAATCCTAAATTGCTTGTGACAGAAAAGAGCACGAACTACACGACATAAAATGTTTAAAAATACCTTAAAATCTATACTTGGTTTCAAGAAACAAAAATCGATTTAGAAATTAATTTGCTGATTTAGAAAGTAGCTAGCTCCTGATTCCAGTGAAATTTATTTATTTATGCTGCATAGGAACAGCGTAATATTCATTTGTCCGTTGCATCTCCTTTATGTAGTCTGAACAGAATCCAGGGGACTAGGCTTTAGCTACACATTATAAAAATCTAATTTTTAACTTATATATGAATTTTTTAAGGATAAAGTAGGTTGAAAAGCAAGCTTCACTTGCTGATCTCTTCATTTTTACCCCATAAACCTACTGATTTTCTGAATATACAAAGCATCAGGATCAAAGGCAATTTCATTTGTGCTAAGGCTGCGCCACACTCTTGCCACCACGGTAAGTGAGATGCTCAAATTGCTTTTTCATTTGGTTGATGAAAGAACTAAATTAACCAGCATCTCAAGGATTTAGAAAAAAAAGTTGAAAAATCCCAGAAGCTCACAGCAAACTTAGCTGTGTCAATATCTTTACGTGACTCATTTAAATTAACTTTTCAAGTGGAACAGTCTGGTAAACGAAATCAGCTCTCAGTAACATTCTGAATACCTGCCCAAATGTCACAACTTTTGTTAATAATGCCTAAGACTCACAGAGTCTTTTTTTAGTTTGCAGAGTCCTTCCAACACATTATATCACGTGATCATCAAGATAAGCCTCATCAGAGCTAGGACTAAATCCTTGCTGAGTTCAAATCCAATACATGTATACAATGTTCCTCATCAGATCCACCCCTACTCCCCTCTTCCTATTTGTCCTCCTCCCCACTAACACGTCTCCCTCCCAACTCTTATTTTTTACAAACCACTGAGTCCAATTTGTGCTGTCCATATGTGCACCTAAGTATTGGATCATCCACTGGGATGATGGCCATCCACCCAAAGTAAAGGGATAGATCTGCAGCCCAATCTATGCTAGAATTTTTAAGTCGCTTGATCTCCTATGTGTAACCCCAGCTGCTGTGAGTGGTATGAAATTGTCATGTCACATCCAAAGGATAGCATTTCACAGCCCTCCTCCTCCCCATCTTCTGGCTCTTGCATTCTTCTGTCCCCACATTTTCAATGCTCCCTGAGCCTTGGGGCAGATCAGGGGTAGGGTTCAAAAATCAACATTGTGTCCTCCACAGGCATTATTGAGCTTCTGGGTAGACACCAACAAATTCATCAGAGGTCTACAATAAAGGCTTATTCTGGAAATATTGAACCTGTTCCATGTAGAGAAAAACAAAAACAATTCGGTGAACTTTTGTAAAAAAAAAAAAAGAAAAAAAAAACAGTCCTGACTGAACAGTGAGAGGAGGACTGGAAGATTATCTTGCCGTAAAGCTATCTGTTCCCAAAGAAAACATGCTGTGTATTGAATCTTTAGCTTTATTTAGTGAAATAACTTGGTCTTCACTCAGCCATCCTAAAGAGAGGCTGCCAAGCTATAATATGATGCACCCTTTTTCATGCTTCAGTCACATAGAATAACAGATTCAGAAAACAAGATATTAAAACACAAAATCAGAAAAATAAATGGAAGGAAACACAAGGTTGTAATGGTTTCTCAGAGAATGCAATAAAAAGACAAGAAAGAAAATCAAAGGATCTTCTGTTGTGGTTCAAGACCCAGATAACACAGGTACCTCAGAGTACACTGAGTCCAAGGAAACTAAGGGAGGGGTTTTACCTGGTTAATAGTACCCTATGATTCCCTAGAACTAGAGACCAGGGGTATCTGTACTAACAGACTCCAGCAAATGCCTGCAGTATGAACCAAAACCTTCCACCAAGTGCCTACACTATGAACCAAAACCTTCATACCAAGATTATCACAGAGACATGTAAGAAAGCTTGCAAAATCAGGCATCTTAAATATTTTCAGAGCTGAGCATATCTAAAGGGTAAAGAATTGCATGGCATCCAATATTTCACTAGAAACTCAACACTTCAAACTCATGGAAATAAATCCATTGTGAAAAAAGAGTACTGGCAACCTAGCATTCCACACCAAGCCAAACCATTCATGGAGTATGAGAATAACACAAAGACATTTACAATCATCCAAGAGCCCCAAAATTTACCTACTATCCTAGTTAGCTTCCTTTTGCTGTGATAGAACACCATGACCAAAAGCCATATGGGGAAGAAAGACTCGCATGTCCCTATCACAGTCCACCATCTACGGAACTCAGGGCAGGAACCTGGAGTCAGGAACTGAAGCCATAAAGGAACACCAACTACTGTCTTTCTCCCCATGGATTACTCAACCTTTCTTTCTTTCTTTCTTTCTTTCTTTCTTTCTTTCTTTCTTTCTTTCTTTCTTTCTTCCTTCCTTCCTTCCTTTCTTTCTTTCTTCATCCTGACTGCAGTTTCCTCCTTCCTCTCCTCCCAACCTTCCCTCCCACTCCCCATCCACTCTGTTCTCTTAAGAAAAGGACAGATGGCCTTGGTGCATTGGTGGCACACACCTTTAATCTCAGCCCTCGGGAGGCAGAGGCAGGCAGACCTCTGTGAGTTCGAGGCCAGCCTGGTCTCCAGAGTGAGTGCCAGGATAGGCTCCAAAGCTACACAGAGAAACCCTGTCTCAAAAAACCAAAAAAAAAGAAAGAAGAAAAAAGAAAAGGACAGGCATCCCATGGATGTCAGCTAAACATGGTATATCAAGTTACAGTAAGACTAGATACCTCCCTTTGTATTAAGGCTGGACAGGCAACCCAGTATGAGGAATAGGGTCCCCAAAACAGGCAGAAGAGTCAGAAATGGCTGCCCCCACTGTTAGTAGTTCCATAAGAGGAACAAGCTACACAACTGTAACATATATGCAGAGAGAGTGCCTGGGTCCATCCCATGCAGGCTCCCTTGTTGTCAGTTTAGTCTCTGTAAGCCCCTGTGAGCCTAGGTTAGTTGATTCTGTGAGTTTTTTTGTGGTGACCTTCACCATCCTGGCTCTTAAAAACCTCCTCACCCACCCCCCTTCCTCAGGATTTCCTGAGGTCTCTCTAATGTTTTCCTCAGCCTGCTTCCTTATGCCTCCCAGGACTACCTGCCCAGGGATGGCACCACCTACCATGGACTCGGCCTTTTCATAGCAATTGTTAATCAAGGAAATGCCCTACAGACTTATCTATATGCAATCAGATGGGGGCATTTTTTCAAGTGAGGGGCAGGAGTGCCAGCATGGTGAGCAGAAGCTGAGCACAAGGGAATGCATGGAAACAGAACAGATAGACTCTGTGATGCATTGTACTGTAAGGATTTTCTGTTTCTTCAGGAAAGACCAGGAATGCCCTAACTTTGCAATAGTTAATGAAAATGAGAATAAGGCAATAGTAACTGCAAATAAAGCAACATATGTACTCATTGTTGCATATATATAAACAATTATGAAAGAAAAGGTAGTCATAGCATTTAGTGGTTAGTCAAACTAGATACTCCCTGGCCTTACATATACACACACAAAGTTTAATTATACTGACATTTTTTACACTGGCACACTGGAGAGAATTCTGACGTGGTTATAAGAATGCAAGCACTAACAACCAAAAATTGAGATATAAAAAATGTCGGCAGGATGAGAGAAAGCAAAGATGGAATGTAAGCTGGCTACTTTATTTTCTCCCATAGTCAAAAAATGGATAATAATACCTAAAATTGAAATAGGAGCATAATCCTTAAAAGTGAGGATTCTTAAGAGAAAAAAAGGAGAACTACCATATGATCCAGTGACCCACCCATGGGTATGTATCTGAAGGACCCTAAGTCAACACAGCACAGAGATGTTTGCACGTCCATGTTTGTTGCAGCAATATTTACACTAACCAAGATACGGAGCTAATCTAGTACCCATCATCAGATTAAAGAATAAGGGAAATGTGATACACACACACACACACACACACACACACACACACACACACACACACACACACACAGTGGAATTTTGTTCAGCTGTAAAGAACAAAATTATGAGATTTTCAGGAAAAAGTGTGGGACAAGAAATCATCCAATTAACTACAAAAAGGAATACTGCAAGCTTATTCTATGTTTAACTAAATAAGCCAATAAATGAGAGTATATGGACAGATACCTTGCCCAGCCTAGACACAGGGGTATGGGTGGAGAGGTGCCTTGGTCCTGCCTCAACGAGATGATGGAACAGACTTAGTAGACATCCATGGGGTCCTTTACCATTTCCATGGAGCAGATGGGAGGAGAGGGGAGTGGGGTGGAGCAGAAGGAGAGGAGGGAGGGGGAACTGGGATTGGAATGTAAAAAAATAAATTAATTTTTAAAACTTTAAAAAATATGTGTATATCATAAAAGTAAACAAGAGAATATTGAGGAGAAGAGGGCCAAAATGAACACGGCCAGTGACAGAGGCCGAACATGAGCCTAGCACTTGATGGGCACGCATGAAGATGTCATAATGGAAGGTGTTATTGAGTATATTCATTACTAAAATAGAAATTATCCAAGAATTGAAGCATGTGAAAGGAGAAATGACTGCTGGTTGGCACACTCTGTCTTTCAGGAATGGTGTTTTAAAACATGCACCTTGAAAATGTAAGTTCAGTATTTACCTACCTTTGGATGATCAGCTGAAAATTTCTGAACTATCTTTTAGAAAGAGTTGAACCAGTCACAGCTATACTGATCCAAACAATACAAACTGAACTCTCCCCACACAGAGAACTCTGTGGGCTTTGTGCTTTCAACTCAGGACCAAAGTTTACATTTCTTTCCCCACCTACGCTACCAGAATCGCCCAATAAATAGCAAGTTTAGTCTTCATTTGCTTTTTGTTAACTTGTCCTTTCCAGTTACAGATGCCATGTAAATTGGTTAATTTGGATCTACAGGGATCTCTGGAGGGGACTATTTTATTTTATACTACGTGATTTGGACTTTAAATACAGGAACATTAGGTACTGGGCCATATGAATGGGGACTTGAATTTCAATTGCTAAAAGCAATTAGTGGAGCTCAAGGACAGAAGGAATTTGCAGAGAATATAGGAATATGTGGAGAACACACATACAGACTGAGCAGGTTGTATTTTGGAAATATATGTATGCATATGTGCACATCATAACAATTAATGAAAAAAAAGAAGCATGGATTTGAAAAGGAGCAAGGAGGGGTATGTGAAAGGGTATGGGAGAAGGAAAGGACAGGGGATGCTACAATTATATTATGGTCCCCAAAATTAAAGACATAAACAAATGCAAAAAAATAGTACAACTTCTCCACTTCTGTCTTGACCATTAACTAATCTCAGCTCTGGAACAGATGTCACTTGACCCTTCTGTGTGTCTCACTTACACAGCATTTTTACAAGAGAAGATGGGCCTAACAGTTCAGCTGTTGAGCTCAATTTGATAGAAAAAGATGAAGAAATTAAGTCATATTATAAAGAAAGCCTTCAATTTTTCAAGATCTCTTTTTTCCCCAATGGTTTATGACACTTAACAGGTAATATCTGGCCCCATTTTTTGACATGTTGCTGTTGTGGGTTTTTTCCACTATTGTTGAATAATGCATAGCCCTGCTGGATGTGTCTAGTCTTACTTTCAGAGTCTGGGTCTCAGAAATGCATCATGCCTCTGTGAAAACTGTTTAAAGTATCTATCTATACTTCCATACAAGCTAAGGATCTCTTGGCCTCACTCCAACAGACTCCAATGACTCCAGTAAGTCCAGCTTGTAATCTCAGCACTAAGGCTGAGGTTGGTTGATCACCCACCTCACATTCAGGACCAGCTTATGCTACAATGGTGGGAGTATCTCCAACAACCAAAACTGAAAATAATAACAATATCTCTGTGTCTTATTAGTTAGTCTAAATCACTCCAAAAATTTTATGTAAACAACCCCAAACACTAAAATTTCAAAAGTATAAGATGCTAATTGTCTTATTATCTATAGGACATCAAGCTGCTTAGCACAGATTTCCACAGATTTATCAGTTAAATCAACACAAGCCACATGGGCAAGCATTCAGGCAATGAATCCTGCTGAGGAAATGATAAATAAATAAATAAATAAATAAATAAATAAATAAATAACCTTGGAAAACATAAAATCCCTCAGGTTCTACTGCATGTCTTTCTAAATTTTTTCATGTCGCTTCCAGAATTTCACTGAAGTATAATGTGTAGGCAGAAAAGAGTACATTTCCTAGGAGAACTGAGCAACCCTCTGTAGCCAACACTCAGAAAAACATAATATGACTACCCAGATACCCTTTCTCCATCACTATTCCACAAGGGGAACTGCTACGCTACCATCTGACAGCATAGAGTATTTTCCCAACTTTATAGAACACACTCTATTGAGTCTTGTTTACAGTACATGATACTAGTCACAGGAAGTCCATCCATATTGTCAAGCATAGTTACAGTGAACTATTGCTATTTAGACACATTACAATATGTGATGATGTTACAAGACTTCTATTTTACACTACTATTGATAGATGTGTGGGCATTTCCGGGTTTAGTTAAAAAGCCAAAATGTAGTGCATACCTTTTGGTGAATGTATTTAAGCATACCTGTTATATTTACCAGGGAATGAATATCTATCATAATGTATTCATACAGTCAACTCAATAATACATCTAATTTTTCAAAGTAGCTATAGCAATTTTTTATTTTTTTGTTCAACTCAATGATATTCTTAGAAAACAGAATATAATTAGATCACTTTTTTCTTCACTGTGTTTCAAAATAATGACTGATGGTTATACAGTAGGGATATGACCCATTTAGATGTTTTGCCACATAAAATAGAACACTCTAAGTAATGAATCATAATACAAGGTTTTCTCTAAAGGAATTGGAGCAAATGCTTGGCCATGTATTTAGAATTAGTTGCAGGCTCATTGCAAAAGAATATATTTATCAAACTCCAAACTGCATGGAAAAGTAAGTACAGGCGATTTTTCAAATGAATAGCTCAGAAGTTCTTCCAATCACTGCCATTAAGCAGTCAGAAATCCCCACTGGAGGTTGCAACCAAGAGACCATCAACTGAAGACACCTTTTCAAACTTCCCAACCTTGACTGAATCCCTTTACCTGTCTGCCACTCATGGTCTTATCTACAAAACAGGACTCTTAATTCACACTTTGGTTGTAAGGATCACATCACAATGCTTTATGTTTTATATTACAGGAATGATTTTATAATGTAGACAAGCCTACCCAAATAATTCCCCCTTTTCATTTCATTCTATTTCCTGCTCTCTCTTGTGACCCTGGGTGCCATATGCAGTGTGTTTGGCGTAGCTATGCAGCTGATGAGAAGTCTGTTTCCATTGCAACCTGGAAGCCACATCTGAAGGCCTTGCACACCTGCAGCCCTACCAAGTAGGTATCAGTGGGACAGATAATGCTGGAGTTGTGTCTTTTCTTGTCTGTTAAACAAAGCATATGTGTGCAGAGAAGTCCCAGTTTCGGACTTGTTTTAGTCTCTCTGTTGCTCTTAAAGATGTCTAAACCTATTTAACAGCAACTCAACCATGAAACTACATGGAATCAGCATCATTCCTTATCAACCATAAGCCATGACTGAGGCCTTAAAGAATGTAAATGATGTATAGATATGATAGTTTTCTAATGTCTTCTTTCATAAAACCATAGTTCCTGAAAAGCAAGCACCTGACCCACCACCTAATTTTACAGAGTGACTGCTTGCAGAGCAGTATATATGTGAACCATAGCTCTCATCTTTGGGAAATGTTCTGGATAAATGTAAAAGAGCAACACTAGTTGGAAAGCTGACAGAGCATCTCAAGTGACAGAAGACAGTGGTCTACTAATACAGTTGATTATCTGGCTTCCCACTCACAGCAGCTTTGGATTAAAAGTCATTCTGAAGTCTGGAAAAAAAATGAGTCAAATTCTCAAAGTGCATCTCCTAATGCATTGATTATGTACTACTTTCCTCTGATACTTTCCCTGTTTAAATGGGGGGCAGAGGTGGAGAAGGATTGAGTCAAACATATACCTTCCTCCTGTCCCCTTGAGGCCACCAGCCATGCCTTCACTCACTTTTCCTTAAAACTTCGTGCCTCGGCCCCATTTACTGAAAAACAGTGACTTATTCCAAAGGACACAGCATTCGTCATTGGTGCCCTGCATGGAACCCAGGGGTCCTAACACAAATCACTCCAGAGATACTTCACTGTTCTTGTGGTTCATAATCATTACTGTTGCTATGGTTTTCTTTGTTAAATCAGTGAAATTCGACAGAAATGGTGGCCTTTTCCCAAGAATAATATCCAATGCACACACATACAAAAGAAACAAAACTCTACCTATAATTTTAATATATTCTCAGATCCCCTGGAGCAAAGTTCAGAACCTTTGCTTTAGAAAGAAAACCTACTTCAGTAGGTTTCTGTTTGTGAGGAGAATAATTTAGAATGAGCTACAGAACAGTTTTACTTAAAATTAGCGAGCTTACTGAATACAGGGTGATATAATGAAAAAGACTAAAACTTCCCTTAATTTGCATAGTATATTTCTCCTTAGCATTCAGATTGCAATGACTCTGAAAGGGAAAGAGCATTCACTTATCTTCGTATCCATTCTGCAAGTGCTCACTGAATACTTACTTCACACAGGGCTGGGTTTCTGAGACAAAGCCAGAAGCAGCCAGAGAAAGCCAAGTAAGTTCAAGTCTCATCCAAGGCTCAGGAACTAGACACTCAAAGAATGCAGAGAATAGACAGTAGAAGGAAATATTGGGAAAGTTTTAAGGAGAAATGTTAATAGGAAAGCAAGTTAGGACTCATCGGGGGCTGCAGTGATAAATAAATGATCATTGTCAACCTCATCTTCATCTCCACTGACAGTGACATTGTTGTCACTGCATAGCAACAGGCCAGTTCTCTGGTTCCCCACCTGTCTGAGATGTGCTTGTTACTTTCACTCCCCAAGCTCATCTCAAAGAGTAGTAGAATGAAAGCTAGGTCTCAGAAATGACTCTTGGAGTCGGGAAGATGCCAGAAATTGGCACCCTGGCCCCTCTTCACACCTTCTATGGTTGTAAAGAAGTTCCCTTCTCATACTAGGCCATAGTTTTCCTCTTATGTACAATATACATGAGACCTGAGCCATATCTATTTCAAAGCTTCATTTTAGTGAGATGAGGATTTATTTTCCTGACTTTTCTTTTCAAAATGAGTGAAGGTTCTACGAAAGGTGAAGCCCAGCTAAATGTGATATCTCAAAGAATGAGTCAGATATTTTAAGAAGTTATGGGAAATTACCAAGCTGCAGAGGTGCCATGAGGTGTTTTGAGGGGTCACAGTTTAGACACTATCTGATATAATGCCTTCCCATTTAGCACTGGGACCCCCAAGAAGGTGAGTCCAAAGCCCAAGATTCATTTGGAAATGAGCCACCCTACACCATGCTACCAACTCCCAACCTTGCCCAAATGAGTAATTCCAACAGTGTGACTTAAGGGCTCAGATTTCCTATGTACCTTATTTACTTTAATTCCTCATATAAGAGGGGAAAGTCTACATCAGTAAGTGACTAAGAATCAAGAATACAGCCATGGATCAATGTCTCCATGTCTTGATCCCAAAAATCTGCCCAAGATACAGGGACTGCAATCAGACCAGAATCAGCAACACTCTGAGAGCTTTTGCCAGAGTCTCTTTGACCAGAACCACTGTTTCTCAACCAAACAGTGTGTGGTATTCTGCTGTGTGTGGGCAGTACTGGCCTTGCCAAGTAATGTTGTGCTGTCTCAGATCTGCCACAAAGAACATATGTTTGAAAGCTGTGTGAAGTTATTATAAATAGCATTGCTTCTATGGACTGTACTAAAGAAGGGTTACTTAAGGTACCTGATTTCCCCTGTCTCCCATTTTTGGCCATTATCAAATGCTGTAAATGTATTCACTGGTTCATCATAATTTCTCTTCTGTCCACACGCACCTGAAGGAAAGAACAAGGGGAGGCATCAAGCAGGTTTGTGATCTCTCTTTCACTACATGTTTGTTTATAAACCAGATGCCTAACATATTTTAAATGTGACTCATGCATAAAATCGATCAACAAATACAACACGATTAAAAGTGACCTTTCATAAGACTGCCTGCAAAGTTTACTGGGTTGTATTGATTTATTTTTCCTCCTTGGGAATAGAAGTATCTTTCCCTAACCTACTCAATGCTGTTTTAACAATCTGTAAGGCTTAGAACATTCAGAGGCATAATAATCAGAGGCTTTGATTATTCTTGTCTGCCACTGTCCCAAATGGAAGTCCTTCCAAAATATTCAAATGCAGTTATTCAAAGACATAACAGGAGAAAAATGATGTTTCTGTATAACGAGAGCCGGCGATCTGTAGTCCGTATGGTTAAGATATCTTTAATTAGCTAAACACCAGCCAAACACAAGCCAGAGCATGCCAGGGACTGCAAGGCAGGCAGGTTAGAGAGAAGGTCTCCCTCCCCACCCCCCCACCCCCGACCTCAC